TTGATCAGCGGTAGCGAGTACTTGATCAGCGGTAGCGAGTACTTGATCAGCGGTAGCGAGTATTTGATCAGTGGTAGCGAGTATTTGATTAGTTGTGGCCCTCTCACCTGATCACAGGACCTGGTGAAGAGATGGTTGACAAGAATCCAGACTTCTTTGGGGATCTTTAGAGGTTTGTCCTCGGTACTTGCACCATCCATCAGGAAACTCACCTTTGACTTTTCCTGATGAGAGACAACACAGTCAAGTTATTGTACACTAACAAATAGTAGCAGTGACAGATTATTTCCTGGAATAATAAACCAATATTCCCTTATTTATTTATTCCAAGAAAATGATTGAAATCATGACATTATTCCCATGCTGTGAGATTCATAGAGACTTCTAGAGTGACTGCACATGAGACTTCTCATCAATTAGTGATGGAGTGGGAGGTAAAGTGAGGTCAGGATTACTTCTAGGGTCTGGAAACTCAAATGAAGGAGAACCATTTAAAAAGAAAAAAAAAGGGAAAAGAAGGGCTGGATATCACATTCTTGTCGCTGCAAATGTATTCCCGAGAGACGTCCAAAAATAACCAGAGCTAGTGAGGCTGCACAGAGATGCAGAGGAAACTGGAGTGGGCCTTTAACGGTGGACAATGCTAACATGCACAATTAATGGCATATTCTGTAAATTGTCAACTGTGAATATTCAGGGTATTTTACAGTGTGGTGAATCTTCCAGAGGAGATTCAAAACCAAGAATGCTTCAATATAAATGTATATATTGTTACATTGTTAGGAAACTAAGTGGATATCCATTTACTCGTGCAGCTACTCAGTTTCATGGATCAGTAACTAGAAGAGGAGACATTTGTTCAGCCAAGCTCAAACACTGCTATGAAGCCAGACGCCAATACTTCTCATTAGCTTTACTCATGTGTACGGGGGGGGGGGGGGGGCAGTCAGGGTGACCTGCTGTGAAATGGGATTTAGTGTGTTTGCGGGTGTCTTGGGTTTCATTAGACTGGTGCACTCTGTCCTCAATGGGCCGGGGGAGATTTAAGGGGTGACTGATCTGCGCACACAGATTATAACTAAGCTGGCACGGTCTGCTCTGTGATTGCCTTTAGGGTGATTGCCAAGTGTTGCGCTTGTCAGCTTTCTGAACTGTAGAGAGTATGCAGCGATTCCATTTTCTGATTAGCTAGTGAAGCCACTTTCTAAATCAACCTAAGGGCAGAAAATATTGTAGCCGATATTGACTGCACGTTAAAGTAATAGTCCGACATTCTAGTAAGTACGCTTTGTTACTTACACATAAATCTATTTCTACTACAGTAAGTGAATCTTTATGGTTAAAGTTAGACAGTAACAGGATGTAGTGCACACTGGGGCGTTTGCTGATATTTCCTCACATGAATGATTCTGATAATATTAGAACCACTTTATCTTTATGACATGAGCGACTGTGGAAGGTCAATAAAGTGTCATAAAGCACATGCTTGGTCTTTTAACAAAGGTAGCATTGACCCCGATTTTCCCCGATAGCGGATCACTATTGAGCTAATATTTTACCTTTTCCATGTAGCTGTCCTCTCCCTGAGCAAGAAGTCAGCCCACAACCACAGTGAAGAGTTGGAAAGGAATGATCAAGGCAATTAGAGGCGATGAAAGGAAACAAAAGAAGAAAGTAGATAGAAGTATGCATGAACAGAGAATCACAAGATAAGATTATGGATTGGTCTTGAATAAATCATTGATCAAATCCACCAGGCCAGTAGGAAAATGGAATAGTTCAAATAGAAATAAAAGGAGTACTGAATGATGGTATATTCCTAACCGAAATCGGATTCATTGTAAAATAGCAATATGGACAGACTGAGGTGAATGTGTGAAGACCAGAGGAGTCCATTTATGGACCTAACCTGAGTCAGTTGTCCCTGTTTCTCTAGGAGCTCCAGACCGATGTTTTTGCCACTTCCTCGTTCCCTTTTAGCCAGAAATATACAGGTTGAGACATTCTTTTTGCGCTCCAAATATAGTTCTCTTTCTGTGATGGAGTTTAGCCTGAGGGAGTGAACGAGCTCTCACATGTCTGCTCAGGTTTCAGGTGGTGAATAGCTACAGAGTGAGGCACAGCCATCTATCCTATGTTTCCACAATCAGAGCTTCAACTAACCCGAGGAAACTGCTCACTAATCCTATCACTTTTAACATGTATGATTGGGTTTCCCTTTCCCTCACCAGGTCAATTAGTTTGGTGATGGGGATCTCTCTGATGGGCTTCTTCATCCGGCACAGAGTGTCCAGCGAGGTGCCAAAGCAGCTGGGCTGGTAGTTGCCAGAGATGGTGATGAAGTAGTCTTTGCCACGGTCCAGATGGAGCACCAGAATGTCCTCGATGGTGTCTTCTCCAGAGTTCAGCAGCGTGACGGAGTCTTTACTGACATACACCTCCAGATAGATCTCCAAGATCTCATCTGTTCAGGAGGATAAGTCAGGGTTTCAATGCAACAGTTTAAAAAACGGTGAATGGAATGGTGACACTACAGCGGCACATGTGGGACATACAACAGTACAATGTTTCCTGAAGAAAGACAGCTAAACTTATAATCTGCCTTTGACGTTTCATCACCAATGATTGAAACACTACGTGATCACGGATCTAAAATTCAAGGTAACAAGAATAAAAACAATCAAAATTGAAAAAGGGAGTTATTCAGACTTACTCGGCTCGAGGAATCCGTCGCTTGGCTCGGCGCGGAGCCACGACTTGCAATACTGCGAGTCATTGAGTTTGGGGATGAAGGCGAAGTGACAGGGGACCTGCCCGTCATTCGTTATCTGGAAACGCTCCTTCTGAAGCTGCCGGAATTTCACATTCCCAAATGCAAACTGCATAACAGGGAAAAGAGAAGCAACGTAAACAACAGATTCACCAGAAACTTTATCCTCCTAATCTGTGGAGAAATTACATAATACTACTCTGTTTATCAGGTTACCAGTGATTAGTGCCTGAGATGATGTCATTGAGGAAGGAGCAGAAGACAGATTGTCAGTATAATGAGTGCATGTGTATGAGAGGACTATATTTATACCTCTCGCTTGTCCAGAGTTACAGACGGAAGGAAATCATTCTCCATTCGGTCCATCGCCCGAACAATCTCCTCAAACACCTTTTTGTAGCGCTGATCATTTACCACCTTCACCTGTACAAAAACACACAGGTTATATTTATCAGAATTAACAGCAGAACCGTGCAAGTTCGACCAAAAACCAGTCGGTCAGTTGAGAGGGTTTTATTTGACAACATGGCTTCTTACCCCGACACTGAAGACAGCGCTGACAGGCTTGTGGTCACTAGTTTGCAGCTCCATGTGACTTCGATATTTGAGCTGCTGGACATCGTTTCCTCTCCACAGGATTCTGTCACACCAAGCCGGGACACGACACTTCCCACTGCAGGAAACAGCCACAGGGTCAGAGGCAAAGTTACAGGTCAGACATCAGACACAAGTACTGCTGACTCTGTATTAGTGTAACAATAAAGCTTTTTCCAGCTTCATCAGCTGGAAAGAGTTTCCTTACTGGCAAAATGTAATCAGGATCCCAAAGAAGAAGAAAACAAAACTGAGGACAAGTTGGCAATAGCGATACAAAGCCTGGATTAAGTTTGAGAATCAAATCATGAAGAAGAAAAACAGATACCTTGAGTCCCATCGATCCGTTTTGGGGTCGTACTTGTATGTGGGGAGGAAGTTGATCTCTCCCTCCATGAAGTCTGTGAAGGCTCTCTTTGTCTGCCTCTGAATGTTTAACTACACAATGAAACATTTCAAAGTATTATTTGGTGAATGAGTGTTTAGTTTAGGGCTATAGTTCAATATATTCATTTATTGTCTTATATAGAATCATATTGTGATTAAATCATATATCAAGATTCACAAGTGCATTGTCTAAATTGATATTAACAAGCACATACTAACTCAAATTTCTCAGAAAATCTGATTATTTTGCACTTATTAATAAAATGAGAAGTTCATTTCATTTGTCGACTATACAAAAAATGGCTTTACCAAGTGGTTAATTCATAGAGACCATTTATTTATAAAATTAACAGAAAACATCCTATATATCATTATATGTATATATACATGTAAGATATAAATCTTATTTTGTGTCAAAATGACTTAATACAGGACAAATTATTATTAATAATTATAATAATTATTGTTTTTAAAAAGATAAAAAGATTGTTCAACAGTCTCTTACCTGATCAACCTCCTGAAGCTTTTTTAGCTCATTCTGAGAAATGTGCTGTTTGACCTCAGCAGAATCGTACAAGAACAGACGATAGTTTAAATCCCCGAGCCAGATGACTACACTGAAACACAAACCACACAGAGATAGTTCAAAACAAAGGAAGGCTGGAAATATGAAAATGTTTGTGTTTTATTGTTGATTTGTTAACAAACCCTCAAACTCATGATACAAGCACAACCAATGAGTGTAAAATCTGTACATTAGTTCAACGCTCTGGACATGAATGAGTGAGGGACTCACTCGTGCTTGACGATGCTGAGAGGGGGGTGGTCCAGTAAGTGGAAGGTCATGCGGGCACAGATGTCTTTATAGTCCTGGTTGCGGCGCTCAAAGTCTTCCACGTGTGCCGCTAGATGGGAGTTGACGATGCAGAAGCTAGTGTTGTGGAAAACAAACCTCACTGCCACACCTCCTTTGTTTCCCTGAAAGAATGAAACAAAAAATAAGATCCGGCTGTCAGTTTGACAAGTAACACTTGTTATAATTTAGGCAAATACAAGCAGGAAGTAAAGTCTGTGTAACCTTAAATAAATCAAACAGAAGATCAGTAAACTGTAAATACTGTAATCAAGAAAACAAAAACATTACTTTTTTTAATATTTCTTAACACGAAGCCATTTTATTTTACATTTTACTTATTTTTCTGCTGCACTTGAAAGAAAGAGAAAGAACACATGGCCCATTTATCCCTTGATTGTTTATCACTATGTGTACTTTGAGGCTGTGTAGTAAATGTAGGGTTGAACAAACCATTTTCCCCATGATTCCTGTGCCCACATGCTCTGCAGCCACTTCTTTTATATGATTCTTGTGAATCTTTTTGACAAAAACCACGAGCATCATCCCAACAAGACGTATGATTCGGACCTGTGGACATAAAGAAAAAGCAAGTAAGCACATTTGCAATTCTGTGGTTTGTTGGATGATATGCTTTTGTCCAACCAAATTCTCAATGGTCGGACAATCACTGGAGTTACTCCGATAAGAAGAAAAGCGCTTCTTTACTATCTTCGGGGCCGGGGAGGATGGGAGTGTCTGCATCCTCGTCTCTCAGACCTCAGTCCGGACAATTGTGCTAAATCTATAAAGCTGGCGGCATATTTTTGTGGGTTGGGCTGTGGGGATCGGTTCTATATAATAATAATAATAATAATAATAATAATAACCAGGTAGAATCTAGACAGTATTGATTCATAGTAAATGTCTTCATTTATTAGAGCACTTTTATCCAATTTGCATTACAGTCACACACAAATACGATGGTCAGGGGCAAATTTATTGTTATTTTTTCATCCATGTCTTGCCCAAGGAAACTTTGAAATGTTGACGAGAGGAATTGGGTATAAAGCAGACTTTTCTCGACTCACCTTCTTGTATTTGGCTTTTCGGTGCAAGCTCCTCTCCATTGCTTCCACCCACAGCTGTTCCTTGGACGAGTCCATGTAGAAGAAAGCTTCAGTGCTCAAGTCCAATTCTTGAAAACTAGAGTCATAAACCAAGTCCCCATATTAACGGATGTTTTCAAGCAAGAGCAGAGGACGATATGCATTACTTCATGGTCAGAAAAAGTCCTGTGATAAATTCTCACTGACCCCAGAGCATAAATATCAGGAGGTTCTGCGTCACAGCAGAGCCACGGCTCAAGGCCGCTGTCTGGAGCCTGGCCGTTCACATTCCAAGTACCTGTGAAAAACCTAATGAAACAAAAAATAAACAGTAGTTATGCAGAGCTCTAAACTAAAATCTAAACCAACAATGATCAGAATGAAGACGGCCCTCTCACCTGAAGGTCTTGAGGTCCACATACTCATTCTCCTTCTTACCCAGGCGGTGTTTGATGAGGTATTCTCTTTGTCCTGCCTGGCTGGAAAACATGGTCTGTCTCATGCTGTTGGTGGTGGGGCTGTCGCACCAAGATGTCGGCCTGTCCGTGCCGTCATACCCAGACCTAAAACTACTGCAATGGAAAAGGTAAGTATTATTTAGCATTGGATAGATTCCACTTTGGGATAATAACAGTTTTAACCGATATAAACTATTTTTAGCAGGTTTCCAGTGCTTCCTGTAAACCTGATATGATGTCATGGTGTCAACCTACTCTGGTCTGGAGTTGTCTTTGGTCGGTTGGGAGATAGCTCTGTCTTTAGGGGTGGGTGTAGGAGGCAGAGGATTGGATGGAGCGTAGGAGGCTTTGCGCGGAGGTAGAGGGGGAACCGGGGGAGGCTCCCTGACAGCAACTATGCGATTCTGGTGGTTCTTCTTTTCCTCCACTTTGTGATTGAAGTTGTCCTCAAAGCCAAAGTCTGAGGCAAGTGATTGAACTGGATCTTCAGAAACAGAACAGTAAAAACAGAGGATTCAATCTAACAGCAACAGAAAATGATTTGGAAGACAAGACTGAGGGTTTTTTTTAGCTCTCATTTATGCTTTCTCTGCTGTTATATTTGTCTAAATGTAAACAGTGTATTTGTATATTACCTGTGTTGGTCCGATTTGTTGACCTGCTGTTGTTGAGGTTGGGAGGCAGTGCATTGGTAGATCTGGGTGGGTTGTCTGCAGAACCCACATACGTAACCGTCTTGTTGGCTCTCTGCGGTGGGATGGGGACTTCACCTCTCAGGGCTGTCGGTGCAAGAGGCTCCATCGCTTTGGGTTTCGGGAGTTTGGATTCAACTAAAAAAAAAAAATAAAATTGAACAGCATTGTCAGAAGGAAGCACACGATGATCAACACTCAAGTAAAACCTTACTCAAGCAGAAGGAGCAAGTTTCCAGAGATCATTTTAGGACACAACATAAACAATAAAATGTACAATGGCTTGCCAAAGAAATAACCTAATATTTCATATCAAAACCCTTTCATGCATAGAGGTGACTGCAGTGGACAGCTATTCAAATGTTGTTTTCTTGTATATGCATGGGTTTTGATGGCATAGTTGCACATCAGCAACAGTGAATGCATCATCCCATACACTGCTACTCAGTGGCAAGCCGTTGTAAGTGCAAGATACATTTCTCAAAACCAAGATAGCTGATAGTCAGAAACACCCGGTCACTCATCAATATCTTGCCAATGCTTCTATGGAAAGAGACCCTTGCAGGTATGAAAATGTTGGTGACATCAAGTAACAACTAAGGAACCATATAGTTCATTCATGTTCCAAGTATTGATTTTATATTGGGAGGAAATTACGATTAATCATCTGTCCACTAAATTGGACATCATGCATCACTGGCTATATTTCCTGTGGCAAACCAGGGGGAAAAGCGAGCAGACACAGCACAGGAGGCGGATCCCCAAGCTCAGGTTGGGGGAGGTGATAGAGGGAGTCAACTATCCAGCTGCAGGTGCTGCAGGTGCTGCAGCCACTAGGCATGTGGCATTGGTCACACCTGCAGCCCATTAGCTAATAAGAGTGAGCACATGTTCACAGAGCAAAAAATGCAAACAAATGCCATGATGCTGCATGCACACGAAGAACCAAGTAATTGTCTTTTACTGGAATCACATCTCGAGATATCTTGAAACACAGTTACATTGTCTAAACTGACAACAAGTAACGAGCACATATTAACTGAATTCTCTAAAATAATCTGAATAGATAAGAATTCTGTTTATGGGACTACCCTATGATGGGATAGAAGATTTTCATCATATCGGCGAGGCCTAAGCTTACTGGCCAATGATGATGCTGCTTCAAAAGCTATTATTTCTCCAGGGTGTCGTTTAGTGAGGCGGAGGACTAAAACGTGGATTCAATAGCTACAGTTTACATTCACATCAGAATAGCAATTTGGCAAAACCCACATAAAAATGTTTTTAATCTACTTACTACATAAATAAAGATAATCACAGGAACTTTTGGAGACTACTATAGTGTAATACATATGAACACCATAACAACATCTCCATATTTTGTTTGCTCATTTGAGGAGCAGTATGAGCTACATGGCTAAAAATAATATGTAAGAATTACAGCATAGTGATGCAAGTCTTAGGCACCTTTAAAAGGTCAATCTGATTAAGTTATTTTTTAAAAGTCAGCAAAGTGACTCTCTCCCCTAGTGTGTGTGTGTGTGTGTGAGACGAGTATACACAGGAAATCAGCGAGTGGTGTAATCCACCCACGGTGAATAAATGTTAGATGAGCGATTAAATAATTAATCATCCAACTGCTCTAAACTACCGACAGAGAAGTCTTACCTTGTTGCTGAGCACTCGTCACCTGGATTAAGAAAGTCTGAGTCCAATCATTGTCCTCAAGTTCGAACAGCAGCTCTGGAGCCCTTTCTCCTTTGATTCGTATCCTAATGCCGGCTTGAGAGGGGTATGAAAAACACAGACACTTACACACATGTTGACACCTTAGAAATGCAGACTGTCCAGAAAACAAAGCGAAGTGATTTAATAGTGAACCAACTCAGCATTCTCTCAGAGAGCCCTGGTAACCCACGACCAGCGTCTGCTACTGAATAAAGGACATTTGGCTGAAGGCCTGCTCTAAAAATGGTGCTGTGTTGCTATAAATGCCATGTTTCCCACTATACAGGCCTATTTTATTATTGCCAGCTTGCATGGACCAAAAACAACATTTTCTGCATAAAAACAAGAGAGGTAAAACGTACTTACAAGCTACTGAGAGGTTGATAAGAAGAGCCTCTTCAGCCTCTGAAATGAAAGAGGAAAGAGATCAAAAGGTGAAGTAAACCAAAAGGTGTTATCAATTATTTCAACAGGCTCGTGTTGTCATCGGTTGATTTTTAAATTTTGTCCTTCCAAGTGCAGAGGAAATGCTCCCTGGACTTTCACACCACTGTGACCCTGATTAAACAGTAACACTATTATGCACTACTATGGTTAAAGAATGTGAGGATCAACTTTAACTAAATAGCTTGTAGCAGCTGGCAACTTTAAAGTAATTAACATTTGATTCTACTTAGCATAGTCAAAACAGTAAATACTGTGAATTAGGAAAAAAGAAGCCGCAGACCTCGCACAATTTCAAAATGACCGTTGATGGGTATCCACAGATCAGCCACTGGATGAGACACGACAGCATCAGGGGTCGCCAACACACCCAATCTGGATGAGAGCAGCACAGAGTCCCACTTAACAGCCGCTCTGTCACGTTTAATATAATCAATAAAATCATCTAACACACACAGCATATGCAGGCGGTCTGCAGCTGTTTCTTTTATTCTCATAACAGCCATCATTTTTATTGCAATTAAAATGGTTTCATGCACTGAACATTTGCAATGCAACATGGGTAAATGTACAATTAGGGTTAGATCATGAACTGTGAATTTAAGATTTACAAAAATCTGAAATGCACATGCACACATGCAAAAGTCTCTTTTAGTCTAATTTGCAGTCCAGTTGCTTTAGTTGAATACGCAAACAATTAACTAACAAGCGCACTGCGTCAGTGAAGTCTTGTCGACTAAAGTCCAGCGTAGCAACCTGGCACACATTCAGAGGAGCCGAGTCATTAAATAATCAACATAAGCAGCTTCAAATCTCCGATATGGGTTAATGTAGGCGAGGTCATATTTCACTCTCTAACAATGGCTGACTGATAGCCAGGGTCAGCGCAGCTTGCTGGGAACTGCCCACACTTCCCCTCCACTTCACAATGAGTCCGATTACTGTTGAGAGGAAAATGAGTCAGCTCTGCTGTGTCAGAGGAACTCAGTTCTCCAGATTCTGCAAGGAACCCTCGGATGTCGCAAGCTAACGGACCCCCTCAAGAGCATGCACGAAATAACAGAAACACCGCAAAACAATAGACTTTCCTTGCTGAAAGTTAGATGAGAAAATCAATACCAATCTCAAGTCTGTACAATAAATACAAAGCTACAAAAAAAAAAAAAAAAAGACTTGCTGCTTCAACTCAATGTTTATTTTGAGACCTCACTGTCGTTCACAGTTTCTATTATCTATACTATATCTATTTCAGGCTCCTCACGTCTTTAAAATAGCTATTTTTACACCAGTTTTATATCTGCAAATTATTATTGATACATCAGTGGCAATATCTGCTGAAGTATGAATTGTTGCAAATAAAATAGTCTTTAAAATCTGATCCCAGAAATGTCAACAAATGTCACATTTGCAGGTTTTTCGCAGTTGAGTGTGTGTGTGTGGTTTTAACACAGTCAGCTGAGGATGGAACTCGGGTGCCCATGCGAGTCTCATTACGGTCAAGGACTAAGTGGAGGAATTCTGGATAATGCATAGTGTAATTGCTTTCTCCCTCATTCTAGCTGTTCCACACCACAACCTGCTACAAACACAAACAGCACTGATCATTTAAAGACACCCACAACATTCCCCTTTCACAAAACGACTGAAGCTGCCGAGACCCGGGTTCAAAAAAAAAAAAAGGCACAAATTTAACTCTGAACCAAATGACTGCAGCTCCATGGACACAACTGTTGTGACATCTGAAGAGGAGGTCAATGAAAGGCACTGATTCACACAGCAACAAATTAATTTCAGCTCGAAACACTGAACAATTTTTGTGATTAAAACCCGGAGCATTCGTTGCAGGTCCTCAGGTTGTGTGTTTGACAAGGTATAATGTACAACACAAGAAAAACAAAGAAACAGAAATGCTAAATACCAACCAACCCTAATACACAACAATCAAACCGAAGATTAAAAGCCATATTACCCCTGGAAAGCAACACAGCTATCCAGTGCATGTCAAATTAAGCCCATACAGACAAACAGCAAGTATCTACCTTCTAACACAAGAAAAAGTTGTCAAAATTTGGGATTTCATCAGAATAAAGCAAAAGCTATAGAAAGTGGAAGCAGCAGATGGACTTCTAAATCCTTGAGGTGTTCAGAGCTCCTTCGAAGTCTGCGGCATCTCACTAGATTCACCTTCTATCTGACAAAAGCACATTGATATTTAGTCATCAGGTTGTCTGATACTTACTTAAACTCTCCCCTGCACTCAATTAGTGACAGCAGTCTGGGCTCCTTCTGGCCAGCCCTCAGCTCCTGAACTTTCACAGTGTGAGCATCACAATCAAGGAATTATTTTTGACTCAGGATGAGAATGGAGCACTTGGACATCACAAGCAGCGAGTTGTTATTTGAATTAACCTCAGACAAACAAGACAGACCTCACTGTCATGTTAAGCCGATAAATTAGTATGCGCGTGGTTAGATTGAAGATACTCAGAGGTGATGATCTTTGCTTGAAGAAGCCATGCTTATTGAACAATCAGCAAATTAATGTGACAAAGGAAAAAAGAGATGGTGGCCAAGTTAGTTAGTGGCAGCCAATTAACCATTAACCAGAAAAAAAAATCATGGCTAACGTTATTCTGCTCAAGAAACAGCAACCGCTAGCTAAAGTTATTTAACATAGTCAATGCATCGTTATCAACTAGCTAAAGCTTATTGCCAAGTTAGCCGAATGGCTAACGTTAAAGCTAACGTTAAGTGACGTCACCTGACGTTAAAGCTAACGTTAACTGACGTTACATCTAACGTTAAAGCTAACGTTAGCCAACGAGCTAAAGTAAATTGGAACTGAAATACACACTCGTACACAAATGTTGTAACTTAATTTAAAAAAGGATATTGCCAAGCACTCCTCGTCGAACATCCCCAAAGACGACTCCATACTTACCGATAGATGTTAGATAGCAAAAAGTATCATTGGCAAACGACTTTGTGTTGATTGAGTCCAGACACGTAGGGAGAGAGAGAAAGTTAAATCTCCAACCGGTGCGGTGGCGGCCTTCCGGAATGACAGCTGTTTGGTGCTAATGCTAATAATGCTAACCGCTTGTTAGCCAGCTGTGGCTGTTGCTGCTGGATGTGGGCACGAATGTTCATTAGAGTCGGGAAGTCACAATATCCCGCTTAGTGATCGCCATTCATCAAAAGCCTTGAAGTGTCTTGGTTCTCTTATATGTCATGCAACAGGCTGAGCAGACTACATAGCTGATGGGTTGTGGCTGATTTAAGCTAACGTTAGCTAGATATTTAACGATACAGTAGAGAGTTTACGAAGCGGACTCCCTCCCTCTTCTGTTCCTCGTCTTGAATTCTAGCGGCGGTTGGCAAGAATTTTAAGATAATTAGCGCCACCTTCTGCCTCGGAGTGTGGACCAGAGCCATAACGATGCTTTTCAGTCCTATCGATACAAAAACAAAATAAATCCTGCAGTGTCATGTGGTAACTTCATAATTATTTCCATGTCAGAGATACACTAACGCTAAATCTGTATGTCTTCTTTTGGGGGTTTGGGATTAGCTTGCTGCAGGTGGTGGAATCAATGTAACTCAGTACATTTAGGTGAAGGATGCATCAATTTTATTTTTATGTCACTTCTGATTCACAATATTTCAGAGGGAAATGTACTTCTAATTTCACTACAATTGTTGGACAGCTTTAGTTACTTAATATTTTTGCACATTAAACATAAAAAGAATATATTAAAAAAAAAGAATGTTTTGTTTTAATTATCCAGCAGTACATACAGCTGAATCTATTAGTTGATTAATCAATTATGAGATTGACAGAAAATTGATTAACAACCATTTTAACAGTTTTAGTAAATTTTCATGCAAAAAACACAGACTGTATATAAGAAGGCGAAAACATTTCATGGTTCCAGCTTTACAAATGTGAGTATTTGTTCCTTTTTCTAATGAATTTAATTTATTTTTAATAATTTTGAGGATAACATTTCTCACAATTTTCAGAATTTTTACAAACCAAGCAATCAGTCAAATAGTTGAGAAAATAATCATTAGATTAATACATCATGAAAACAATCCTTAGTTGCAAACTTATACAAAACAGATATTGTAATTATATTTAGGATCCACAATTGTCAAATAATTTTCTCCTAATCATTTCAGCCGTACTTTTCAGGTTTTTAATGCACAGTATGATATATTATTTTTTACATTTTACATGACATCCAAGGACCGAAACAAATATAGGCAGAACATTATTTGAGGCTGAATCTGAATTTATACAACAATTAAATGAATGAACATATTGTGTAATGTTAATCTTAATAACGATTGTAATTAATCTAACACCTTAGGACTTTGTATATTTCACTCTTTATTGTTTAGAGTCACTTTGCCATGATTGAAAATACATGGATAAGTAAACTGAATGTGTGTAATTTCAGTCCACAACTTTAATCATAGCAGAAGGATGCTTTCGAAGGAGTTTCACACATAAATGTTTCTCAATTGTTGTAGGTTTTAATCTTATGAATGGCGTAAGGGCTGGAGTCTCGATGTGGCCAAATGTCTCCATTGGGCAGATCCCTCGTCTGTTCCACGTCTCGATCAATCATCTCTACTGTCAAGGTGGAAGGACTGAGGATTTCTGTCGTACGGTAGGATTGTGTTAGGTGACGGAAGGACGACGTGTCTGAGATGTCATCGTCAAAGAGGTCCTCCATGAGCTCATTGCGCTGTCTGTGAGATGCTTTCAACTCTTCCTTCAGGTCACAAACCAGGTCTTTAACATCCCTCACTAATGTGGACCGTATACCGAACAGGCAGAGCAGGAACACCAGACCAGCACAGATGCCAGAGACAAAGTACAGAGCAACTCGCTCTGGGAAATCTGGAAGAGACCGAGGCATGCAATGATCATGGATCAAAATACCTTCCAAATGTGGCACAAAACTGAAAATTCACAGTTGTTAAACATATTGGCCCTTTGAACCAAATTATTCCTTAAAATAATTTTCTGGTGTTTTTACATGTCAACCAATTTACCACAAATTGCATTACTGCTTACAATTTACCAAAGCATGCCCTAAGTTTTTACTTTATTGATGCACATATAATTTCCAAAGCAGCCACCAACCCCATGTCCTTTCAGTACTGTGTGAAAATCAACGTGCAGAGGCTTTAAACTCGATCACAAAAGGCAATAGAAAAATGGGAATAATAATTATTCTTTTGGTCTTTGCCTGGTAATGTAGTTAAGAGCAAAGAATGTATTGAGAAATCTTCATGGACGTTGCAATTGTGTTCATATTTTATATAAATTTTGTGTCCATATCAGCTATTCTTTATCGACAAGGATGTTTGAGTTTCCCGACCAGCAAATGAACTTAAATAATTCAGAGTAATAATAAAAAGAGCAATCCAAGCTTTGAACTGATCGTCCATGATTAGGTAACCTCAAAAAATTGAAGACCTAAGCAGCTTTCATGTACAAGCAGGCTGACTTTAATACCCATCAAAATAAAGAAGGTATGCTTTGGAAAATGATCAGCAGTGATGCAAAGTATTTATGCAAATTATCTGTATTACTGCACAGAAAAATGGAGTGAATGAATATTTTAAAATGCTCAGTGCAAAAAAGTAAAAGTAAAAAAATACTTTGAGCAGTTTGAGAAGCCATTTCTTCCTTTTCTACAGCTAAAACATGCTAAAACAATGGTATAGCCCTTTAATTATAACTACAACAAACAATAAGACATGTACATGTAACCCTTGCCTGATGTTTACAGGCATCAGCGCACATACCCAATATTTTTTCAATGATCTCCAGAGAGTTGGTTAAGAGCACGTTTTGAGGCCTGTAGGTGGGGCCAGTGTACCATCCACCTGCAGGTGAGAGGGGTCTGGGCTCAGACGCCAGTCAAAGTCTGCTGCATGCAACAAAACCTGTGAATATTTTCTGCTTACTCTCACCATGTGTGTAGTCTGAGATCATGAAAGGATCCGTTGACCCTCGGCCCACATCCTCCAGGAGATACCTGGGCACTGAATAGAAAATTTAAGATTTTTACATAATGCGGCAAACCATGTCACAAGCAGTTTAAACCCGGTTTGTCACTTACCACAAGTGTAGGAGACTCGCAGGTGTTTCCTGTTGCCGGGGAAGCAGGGGTCCCCGAAGATTTGAGTATCAGCCACTAATGAGCAGTTTGCTCTGCCATGACACCTGCGTGACACTTTCCTCAGAGCCGAAGGTGACAAACACTCTGGAATAAATTAAGTCAAGTAAAATAAAAAACTGGAATGCGTTCATTATAAGAAATCAGTCAATTGTTGCAACATTAGGCTCTGGTTTCAAATCTAACCTCTAATATATACTAATAAATAAACAGGGCACACAAATGATTCTCCACTGTGTCTATATAACTGATATTTGTTCCACATCTTTGCCACTAGATGACTCTTAAGCGCCCTGTGTTCAGACCCATGTCAGTGTGTGATCCAGGTTCCTGAGGGCAGTAAGGACTGCCATGCAGCAGGTGTCCAAACGTGGCCGAGTAGATCGCCAGGACAGTTTGGTTTTTACACATCAGCCTCAGGCGCTCATTTTCACACACCAGCCTTGTGCGGTGGTATTCTGAAAAGCAGATGGCATGTACACACGATTACAGAAAGAAGTATTTTGATAAACACCTAGTAAAAACAGTGTGTTGCAGTCTGGATGCAAGTCGCAAATGACTTTGAGTTGGGATTCTTTTGTCAAACTGCCATTTCAAATTTTTTAGACTGAACTTCCATGCTTCACTAAAATGGTAGATATTAATTTGAAGTATGTTTGAAGCGCATTCAGAACACACAATTCTAGTTGCTAATGCTTTCAATTCAGCAACACAAGTGAACTGATGGATATGCTGGCATCTAGACCACTGCTGTCCACATGAGTATAGGACCATAGCGACACACCTGGTCTGCACTTGTAGGCGACTAGAAGGTACTTGCTGGTGAGAGGACAGGGGTCCTGCCCAAACACTGGACTGAAAACAGGGATGTGACAGAACCGCTGATCCTGGCACTCTGACTCCACTTTCTGCAAGCAAAGTGTGTGTAATCTGCAGTGTGGGTCACGACAGCCTTTTACTAAAACATGGACTTGATTTCACATTAGTCTCACCGTGATTTTATTTACCTTGATGGCAACTGGGGAAGTGCATTCTTTATCCTCCTCCACAGTCGTGTTTGTGTTTGCAGAGGGACATAAATGCTGATTAGGAACACGTCGTCCATAGAAAGCTGAGAGGACGGCCACAGACGTCCTCGAGGGACACTCAATGACGAGCGTGTCTCCTTCACAAGCGTGAGCCGTGTGGTTCTTCAGGATGTTGTGAAGATAAACTGAAAGAGAACCCAAGGTGATGCTAATTTCACTTCAAGTGGGAGATACTTTTTAAATTAGTTACAATACACAAGTGGAAAAAATAGTGCTAAATGTATGATGCTTATTAAAACAGAAGATAATCTCAAACACAGTGGTTTGATATGTCACTTTCACCTTATTTAAATGTATGATTAACATCAGCAATAAAACAAAGGTGTCAGATTAGCTTTATTACTAACAAGGCAATTGTTTTTCCTTCTTAACAAAGCAGAAATGACTGGATGATTCAGTTATCATTACTAAATAATACATCATTTAGAAGCCCTTCAACAATCTTATTCGATGCTTTTTTTAGTCCTTGCAGCTCGGCCCTGGTTCTTGACTGGGTGGTGTCCCAGTCACTGGGTGTAGCTCTCCAACACAATGTTTGGACTATGACTACACATTCAAAAATACAAGACAACAGAGCATAGTGAGTGAAGTCTCCCCTCCCATGTGTGCATCCCGTACCCGGCCCCCTGTGTGTGTGTGTGTGTGTGTGTGTGTGTGTGTGTGTGTGTACGTGAGGCAGTGTGAAGCTTCAGGGAGCAAATGAGAGGCAGTACCAGGCGCTCACTCACAATGAACTGTTATTAGGCCCACAAAAAATGGAAACCTCTGCTGAGGTCACAATAGATTTGTCTGAGAGATTTTGTGAAAATGAGAGAAAACCTACTGTTTGACTGTTACCATAATTTCATCCATCATATGTTGAAGTTGTATGTTCTTGTCACAAGTCAAAACAACTCAGCTGTATTTTATATAATGATTTGGGAGAATCTATTCTGTGATCTAAGTTCAGGACCTAGACGTCAGGAGCCTCTTCACCCTGATGCTGGTCTTTCAGGATGAGTTGCACCAGCTGTTTAGAAAGCAGGATGTGAAGATGATTATTAGGGGATGCCTAATGTATCCTAAGCTTCCTTTGCAGTTGCAGTTCACAGCTGAAAAATAACCAGTTAGCATTTTGACTTTCTCCTGAAAAAGAAGTTATAGACATGAAAAACACTTACCAGACAAATCGGGAGCCGAATGTGCGGTGTGAATCTTCAGACCTGAAAGAAGAGATAAGAACAAGCAGTAACTCCATGGCACTGCCATCGTGCATATCCTGCATGACAGACCTCAGGGTTTTGTTGGAATGAGTTGTTGTGCGATTGACTGCCTGGGAGAGAGCGGTCTGTAGGTCAATGATGCCATTGTGTTTACAAGACACAGCCGCCCCCCTGGAGCAATAAAAAAAAAAAAATCACAGTTGACTGCAGTTGATATCTAAGCTCCAGCGTTGCTTTGGCTGCACTTGGTGTGTGGATGCGTGTACATTCCAATCTTTTTTTATTGGTTGTTGCAGCTTGTGGTTTAACTATAAGGACAAAGTTCAAATAAATAGTTTTGGGAATGCACTTAGTTGTTCGATTTCAGATTGTTCAATCAGAGGATTAATACCATTTTCATGGTCAGTGTGTTAAGTACGGAGTTCAGGAGCTGCAGCTGGGAGGCTATTAGCTTATCTTAGCATAAAGACTTGAAGCAAGGGGAAACAGTTAGCCTTCTTCTGTCCAAATCTCTAAAATATGCCTGCCGACATCCTTAAGGCTCAATTATTAACATCTTATGTGTCTATTTAATTTGTGAATGGAAAAGTACCTATTTGTAGATTCACGGTTGGAGTTATGTTTTTGAGCCGTTTCTTAATGAACCTCAGTTCAAACACCCACTCAGCACTTCTATACAGTGTCACCGGCTATAGAGCTATTTGCCAAATACGGCTGGTGATCAGAGGTTTTAGTATATGTCTCTACGAGTACAGTGGCACCAAACCTGGCAACCTCTGTGGCGAAAAGACTCCAGGAAGTCACTGCGCTCTACTGTTGTTTGCTAAGAAATAGTTTTAGCACGTTTTATATATCTGTGTATGGTTGTGTACAAGATGAAACATGGACGTTTGTGTTCTTTTACGTCCAGTTCAGGTTAGCTACCTCCCCCTGATGCTAGTCTTTATGCTAAACTAGGCTAATCCCGTCCTCGCTCAAATTTCATACTTGACTCACAGACACGAGCGTGGTATTAATCTTTTCGTCTAAATCTTGCCTCGGAAAGAAAGAAAATAAATGATGAACATCTATGTCCAAAACTGAGCTTTTTCTGTACAGAAATGACAAAAGACAGTCATGTTGAATCCTTCAGACCAGCAGACGCTCACTGGCATGTCAATACTTTGTTTGCACAATAAAATCTTGACCTTACGTGTTTGTGTGTGTATGAGTGTGTGTAATGGCGGAATCAAGACTCATTCTCTTGGACTGGGTTGTCAACAGTGAGGGCCCTGTTTATGGAGATAAGCCACTTGTTTCCAGCAGGTCACTTTCCAGCTGTGTGTCCAGTCTGTATCTTTTTGTCTGTGGAAGAGGAAGTGAAAGGTCAATTTTTTTCCAGAAACACTCAGGAAATCTCTCCTGTTGAATATCCTCTCTGCGTAGCCAGAATCAGTTGGTTCCAGTTTACTATAAAAGCTGTGATTTCAACCCTTTATTTCCTCTCTTACTCAACCCTGCGTGTGACAACTGTTGTCATACCAACAAAACATTGACACATAATTCTTGTGAAGTCATTCACCAGTTCTGACTTTGACTTAATCAGCGATTGCAGCCACTTGTGATGGTGAATCAAAATGCATATCTGAATGGCACTTCAGTCATTTATCATGCAAGCTCCAGTAAACACTCCCTAGATGGCGGCGGAGTGGACAGAATAAAGGAGGCTGAGAAGGCCACGTTTTAATCAGGTGCATCAGTAAGAGTGGCACTCCCACCTTACACTCCAGTAAAATTCCATTCACCTCCCATAGGATGTGTCAATAAAGAGACTAATTATCCCTCAACAGTGTGTACTTGGAGGAGGGGTGGTACCACTGTGTGGAACGGGAGATTAGCTTTCAGATATTTGAAAACTCTCAGGCCATAACCTCCCTGACTTTGTAGATATTTAAAAGGAAAGAGGAGGATAGCTTTTTTCCAACCACTTTCTCTGCTTCTGTTATATTTCCTGTGATGGTCAAGTGTTATTCATCAAATTCTTTTAGGATTTGTTTGGTATTTCAATGTGATGGATTTATTTCTCGTGGCAGAGAGCCACTTAAAACAAAGCTCATGGAGCACTTGTATCTTATTTTTTAAATTCCGAGTAATGCATTGCATAATTCTGCCCATGATGCCGGTCTTATTTCTTTAGGGAAGATTAAGCCACAACGAGGGGATTTTGTCATAACATTTCCCTTCCCCTCTTTACTGTAAGTGATAGCATTTTACAAGAAATACAGATCCTGAGCCAAACCCTCACTTCTAAACTCTCTGAGGACATCTGGGTCATGACAGGAAATTTAACTTCCACTTTCATTATTGTTTTATTATTATTTAAGACTAATTGCCACTTACAAAAAATTATTACATTCAGTTGAAAGAAAATATAAAATGTCTAAACTCATGCAAAACAAGCAGCAAACAAAAGTAACCTTCACCTCTTTGGTTTTGTGCCCACAACACTGAGGGGATTCCCTTCACCATGATGCATTACTCAAAATACCCCTGAAGTATCCCGTCATTGTTTGAAAGACTCAACATGACCTTTCTCTGGGAGTAGACAACATTATATAATTAGCAGAATATAAACATTACTCAGCAGCAGTAGGAATATTCAGACTCTCCAGGAAATAATAATAGAATAAAAATAATTCACACATAGCAGTACAAAATATTCTTTGGAAAACCAAAAGCAAGTTACACTAACACATGTATGTTATAGCAGAATTACAAACGCACACCAAGAAGAATCTGTATGACTCTAAAACGTTTTGTTCCCGTATTTCTTGCATTCCTGTAGCCAAAACAAACATATTGTGCTTTATTCAGTCAACCAGATGTTAACCTTAAGGCTACTTTCTCCCTTAAAATTTGATTAGGTGTATCTTCTGTTTCTCCCAGTGTGTGCTTTGTAATAAGCACTCCTGTGAATAGTGCTGCTAATGTCTAACATTGTTGGAATGAGAGTGGCCCAAATTAATTGCCTGAATTTGTGTTTTGAGTCACATGCTGTTATCAGTTCCTGTGTATTGCAAAATGCAGAGGAACCTATTTTAAGCTCATAGATTCTGGCATTGGGTATATAAGAGGGAGTACCCCGCCCATTTCTCTGGGTCCTCCCTCTCCCCCTGACTAGTGAAGTATGTTCAGAGCGATAGCCTTCAAGGAGCCTTCAGACAAAACACAACCAGCCGGGAGGTGTTGCATTTTCTCCCGTCATCCACGACCTCAGAGACACTTGAAACCACAGCAGCGCTTGTTCCAGGGCTCTGTTATCAGCTCTCAGAGAATTCTCCCTCTCTCTCTCTCCAGCTCTGTGGGTGCATTTCTGGGGCTCAAAGAACTTAAGGAGAAGCTTTGACTGAAAAAAAGTGAATTTCACTTTTTTTGGGACGACATGGCACATTCTGAGAAGGAGCCAATCATCGAGTTGTTCATTAAGGTCAGTCATTTCTTTTCAATTTCAATAAATACTTGAAAGGAGAAGTTAGCTGCAACCTGATTTCACTGTCAAAAGAACGTATTGTGTTTAATTCAATTCCAGAGGAAATGTCTCTTAATTTATCCGTCTTATATCCTCTCTTTTAGAGGACAATAAACAAAGTGCTCCTCACTTATCATCAGTTTTGTAAAAGGACAGAGATCTACAGTATTTTGCTTAATGATCAATCAGAGGGCAACTCTCTTTTTGATGGGTGCCTTCTGAAGATACCTATCCTACAGATGCTGAAGTGTTTGTATCTCTGCTGAGTGTCACAGCACATTTTTTTACTACTGAACTCAGTCCACCTTATCATCGCACACACAGACGGAGCTGAGAGCATGCAGAGTGACTGGCCTCCAGCCTGAACCAGGCACACCCACTTTACTGACGCACATATTCAGATATAGTCCTCCTTATGGAGAAGTAAACAAAAAGTCATGTTTCCTTATTTCTCACCTCATGTTGTTGCCTAATAGCCAAATAATACTATACACCAGGATCTCTTCATTCTCTTCATGCTATACATGTGCTCATTGTGTTCTTGTTAATGGCACCTGTGCAGAGATGGTGTATCTTCTGATATATAAAACAAGGTCAAGTGACCGTACATTAACTGTAGACAGCATGTCTCTTTGTAGATAAAACATTCAACATTCAGTCTCTTAAAGGTAAAGTTTTACTTGGAAATGGTCTGGATTAAACAAACAAGATCTAACCTGTTATGTAGCTTTAGACATGGATTTAGTTAAATTTGGACAGAGCCAAGCAAACTGTTTCCAGTCTTTATGCTATGCTAAACTAAGCTAAGCTACTGGCTTTAGACATATTTAGCATTCAACAGTGAGAATGGTATCAATGTTCTCATCTCACTTCCTGCAAGAAAGCTAATCATATCCCAACATGTCAGACTATTCATTTTGTCATCAAGAGGGAGGAGAGCCAATGTTAGAGTCTGTTGTTTTCTGCTACAACACAATGCCTGCTTTTCCCTCCATGGAGGAAACCGCCCAGACACACCTTTCACTATTAAAATCACTTATCAGCAGATGAGAGGAGAAGAGAAATTGTGAATGCTTCATTGGCTGAAACAGGACATTTGTGGCTCATGTGGTCATAATACTAAATATTACTTTCTGTGTTTTTCAGGCTGGACATGATGGTGAGAACGTGGGGAACTGCCCCTTCTGTCAGAGGCTCTTCATGGTTCTATGGCTGAAAGGAGTCAAGTTTACAGTGACCACTGTTGATATGAGGAAGTAAGCTCCCCTCCTCTGGCAAAAACATTTCCTGAGCATCTGGTCACAAGGATTTTCACACAGAACTCTATTAAGAAGCAAAAAAGAGAGAAATTGAGAGTAACCCAAACCATTTCTAACTTATCAAAGGTGTGTTAGTCAGTCTGACAGAGGTGAGAAGGAGGAGTCTGTGAGGCCCGAGTGTACAGAGAGCTCTGTGTCGCTGCCAAACAAACACCTTCTTTAATTACGGCTTTATTGTGTGAATTTCTCAGGGTCATTATCGGTGAACAAATAACATCAGGAAACTTTGAAAGGATGTTGATAATTGAATGATTCAGAGCACGCACACAAACGGGCCTTTTGAACAGCTGGCCACTCCCAGCGATGTGTGTTTTTATAACTAAACCACCAGCCAATGTTCAAATCATTAATCCACAGAGCCACATTTGGTCCAGTCAGCCTCGATAACTAACGCGCTCTCAGTTTTGACGTGCTTGATAACGGTCTGATTGAATGATCTGTATGAATACATCTAATAAGTCAGATGTCTCCCCCTCCCTCCCCTCCTCCCTCTCCATCTTTTTACGTCCTTTCTCTAGGAAGCCAGCTGAGCTCAAAGAACTGGCCCCCGGGACCAACCCTCCTTTCCTGCTCTACAACGGCACCCTCAAAACAGACTTTATCAAAATTGAGGAGTTTCTTGAACAAACAGTGGTCCCTCCCAGGTATTGTTGCGCTTAATCATTACACAAATATGAATCAGGTGACTTGATGACGACTTATTCACATCAAAGAAGTTTACTCACAGGTTTCTCCCTCCTCCTCTCCCCGCAGGTATCCTCATCTCAGCCCGCTGAACAAAGAGTCCTTTGACGTGGGTGCTGACATTTTTGCAAAGTTCTCCGCTTTCATCAAGAACAGTCCCAACAACGCCTGTAAGTCTGATACTGTTGCGATTCATTAAACACACAGTTACAGAAAATCAACTCAACACATCTGTGTCTCTGACCCTCTAGTCCACGAGAAAAACCTGCTGCGGGAGTTCAAGCGCCTGGACAACTACCTGATCTCTCCCCTCCCTGAGGAGATCGACCACAACTCCAGAGAAACCATCACCATCTCCAAGAGGAAGTTTCTGGACGGCGACCGCCTCACCTTAGCGGACTGCAACCTGCTGCCCAAACTGCATGTTATCAGGGTGAGACAGAGCATCAGATTTCATTTAGTTTTTTTTGTTTTTTCTTTTAAGTGTATATAAGAGGTGGAAAGCATTAAGAATTTTCTAATGTGATTTATCATAATACACCATATTTAGCTGATAACACTTACATACTTTTACTTCCAGGAGTATTTTTACAGTTTATTTGAGTATTTCAATGTTGTATACATTTACTCCACTGTGTTGAAGAGAAATATTGCATTTGTATAACATGGAGTAATTTTACATTGTTGTGTTGGTATTATTTCTTGAGTAAGATGATCTGAGTATGTCTTTCATCTTTATGTACTCTATCATTTTCATCTTTTAATTTTTTTCAGGTTGCTGCCAAGAAGTACTGCGACTTCGACATTCCCGCAGAGCTCACAGGCGTGTGGAGATACCTTCAAAACGCCTACCAGAGAGAGGAGTTCAAACAGACGTGTCCAGCCGACATTGAGATCGAGAAAGCCTACTTCAGCGTGGCCAACAAGAGGAAATAAAACCTTCTGGATTGTCTGTAATTAAATGTCCTGTTTTCACTCAGTGTAACTGTGCATGTAAAGATGGTGATCTGCAGAGGGCGCTGCAGCCTACTAGAATAAACTGTGACAATGAATCAGACACAATTCCACCTGAAAAAGACCTTCACCTGTTGTTGCTGTAAAACTTTGGGACATGCTGAAGCACAATGTTTTATTGGTTGTATGTATTGACTGTTTATCCTTAGTCACTCACAGACAGATGGTACCTTCATGCCACGTTAAAAAAGGCCAAATGTACAATTGATGTTTTTGTTTATAGTGTAAATAGATATTTTTCCAGGCTTTTTATGATCAAAACACCCTCATTAAAAAAAAAAAATAAATATATATATATATATACATATATATATATATGATTGTGTTAGTGTGAGCAACTGCAGACACCTTCACAAACAGTTAATTTCTTTGCAAAGCATTACATACACTTCTGTATCTGATATGATTCAATCTTCTCACTGTCACACTAATAAAGGATATAAAATCTATTTGTCATAACCTTGATTTTTGTGTGCTGACTAGTATCATAATACACCCTCCTTTAGGTCTCTGATGTAAATAGTATTTACCTTAAAATGTCACAACCAAAAGCAGGTCACATAAATGGCTTTTCTGATATTCAAGTTTATTTTCAAACACAAAAATATATCTGTTGATCTGGTATAGACGGTGAATATACTGTTTGATGGGAAAAGGTGATGGAAGGTGAAGGCGTTTCCCAACAGGCCGTGCCGAAATCACACCAAACGTCCTGCAGCTGCTGGGCTCTAGTTGGTGACACAGTACTTCCAGAAACATGCTATCAAGCATCAGAGAAAGCAGAAATTCAAGGAACATTTCACATTTGTTAAGTTCTAAACCACTTTTTTTTCCAACACTTTTTACACTCTACCTACATTTCTTAAAGTTGTTACACTAAATATTAATGATAATAATTTGCTAATATTGTCAAGCTGTTTCTCCATATAGGGTCTAAGGAAAGAGAGTGTGATATGTTGTACAGATTGTAACGTCCCTTAAAGGAAGTTTGTGATTTGTGATTTGTGATTTGTGATTTTTGTAAATCCTCATTCAACATAAGAGGATTTGAGTGTACTCTTAAGTGGAGTCTCATGTACAAACAGATGACAATCTAAAAAAACACAGTTGTAATGACTTAACAAATGTCCCTTTATCTGTTTGCAACTACTTTACAGTGTATTAGAAACCATTTAAAATATTTATATATGTTAATAAATGATAAAGTCTTGCTACTAATATGTAAAGTTGTATTTTTAAGTATTTTTCGAGGACTCTATTTTTTCCACTAAAAAAGTAAACTTCACTATATCTGAAATCACATTTATTATATATCATGAGCATTAGGAAAAGTAATTTACTGAGCACTTAAAATGAGGTAGAGTAAATGAGGTACTTTTACTTCCGTGTAGTTATGTACCGATAGTAGTTATACTGTGTGTGTGTGTGTGTGTGTGTGTGTGTGTGTGTGTGTGTGTGTGTGTGTCTGTGTAGCCATGCCTTAGTTAAACATCCTTCTGAATAGATCATTGTATTATAATAACAACTGCTAAGACATCACAAAGAGCAGGTGTGCTTGATAGAAAAAAATTAAGAGTTACACACCTCTTTTGTTTGCTTTTGGCAAGTTCTGCTCTGATCTGAGAAAACCCTGAGAGCGAAGCTTGTCAGCCGCTTCCAGCTTCAAGACGGCTTCTCTGAGGTCCTCGACCTAAAATCAAGAAAAAACACGATCCTGATATGTTGTGGTGCACCACAGCCAGAGCTTCGTCTGGAACAAACTGATCACATGTTTAAACCTGTTTGCATTGACTTCCAGTTGATTTTAGAGTTGACTCAAGGCATTGCTTTTAAAGCACTCAGTGGTCTGGTTCCTGCATTTGTTAGCATTTGTGCCCACATGTACATGCACTAAATCTCAGATCCTGTAACTAATCCACTCGATAAAGACTTAAATCTAAAAGAAATGCATTTGTTATCAGAGCCCCCAAACTCTGGAAATTTCTTCTTTGCATGTCTATACAGTATAAAGTGTTGTTCATTACTTTCTTAAAAGTGTACAGAGAGGATCAGCCTTACCATGTTTGCAAACTTATCTTGCTGTGCTGAATCTTTAGCTCCTTAAAAGAAAACATAAAAATTGAAAGTTACAAAATCATTCTGTTGACGTGACTGATTTATCTGCATCATATTTGTGTTATTATTACCTTTATTCCAGGACTCCATCCCTCCATTGTGCTGCATTAGTAGAGGATACAGATTATTCATCTCTCTCTGCTCCCCCTCAGCAATGTTGGGTCCATCCTGCACCTCTGCCACTAATTTCTGAATGAAATCTGTAGAAATAAAACACTGTCCTTTCATCATCCTGTCATAGTGACATTAATATCCCGACAGCAGAATAACTTGTCAAATGTGTTTGGGTATTTTTAACCACATCTTGAAAAGCAAAAATGAGAAAGGATATCCAAATAGCCTTACCTGCCTGTGGCTCCAGGTTGGTATCGGGGTACAGAGGTAGAGTATGTGTCCGTCTTGCAGAACAAATTACAGCTACGAGGTAGAACAGAGCTACAGAAATCATGGTGCCTCTATCTTAAGATGCCCCGATCTGGTCTGTAACTCTGCTCGGCAAATAACTTCACTTATATATCCTCAGTGGCCATCCATCACAACCTGATCAATACATTATCATCACACCCACTCTCCTTCTTAATGGTTTTGATGTGAGGGATCAGGCGTCATAGACACAATTTAGGGGACCCTGTCAATTGAGCCGGAGCCTATCTCTGCTTGTACAGAGAGGCCTAACAAATGTTTACTGTGTTGCAGTAATCAGCGGCTGTCCAGCAAAGCGCCGATGGTTTATGTCTGACACCATTTCTGTGTGATGGGCTGCTCCAACGTGTCATTGCTCATGTCCGAGATACACAGCAGGTGGAAATATGTCGGTGAAGGTTTGTACTTCACTGTGTGTTGAATGACTAACAATTCTAAAGTATTTAATTATGACGGCCTGAGGAAGCAAATAGATCCTGTTGTTGCAAATATGTTGTAATTGTTGTTAATGCAGGAGTTAAAGGTACAGACAATCATATGCTTTGTTCTTGTGCCATGCTTTTTGTTGTTTGTGGAGCATCATAACCCTGTATGGACATGGAATTCTCTCTTTTGCACAGTTTTCATTTCTACGAGTAAAGCCTATTATATTTCCTGGTTGCACTACTTTCAATATATAAGTTGCACTTTGCACATAAATTTAATTAAATCCAAAGCAGTGTTGTACAGTTTAAACATTTAGTGTGAAAAACAAGGATTCAAAGTTTTTTATTATTTGCGAAGTTGGATTTGGAACAATAGAGTCCTTTTTAGTCATTGGTTTGAAATACTTCTGCTTGATTTCTCTTGTATGTTGGATATTTCTATATTTTTCTATACTCTGAGTGATTGAGGTTGGGTTAGGGGGAAGATGATGAAGGGATGGGTGAAGGGAACTGTGAGAAAATGTGAGAAAATCTGAACCTTATATGTTATGAGTTCCATTGTGTATTTGTCCTTATTAGAGTCTCAGTTTTAGAGGCAAAGTGTTGTGATGAGCTAAATGCTAACACATAGTAGTTTAGTTTAGTGTGTTAGTATGCTAACATTCGTTCATTAGTTTTGTGGATATTTGTTCATAAATCAAAATTCATAAGTCAAATAAAAATGTTGACTTGATGCTGGCGCTAGATGAAGCATTACGATTTATTAAAGTTATTGCGAGATATCCATGGCAACGCATCTTATAGCTGTTGAGATACTTAGTTTTTAAGAGCCATGCCACTAGCTTGGCTAAAACTTGTAAATATATGTAAAATGTAAAAAAAAAAAAAGCCACAAGTGCAAATATTCAATGTACAGGGCAGTGCAAAGGATTAGCTGAAGACAAGTTTTTAAAGAGAACATGCAGATAACTGTGTTGAAAGTCCTTTAGGAGAAATTACAATGTGAGTATATTTATTTATCGTTTTTTTAATAGAAGCTTAAAATTCGATATTGTTTATCATTTACCATTACCATTTACCATTTACCATCAAAACAAGTTAAGAGGTTTCAGGTGCTGGAGGAGGCTTTGGGCAGCAGAGCTTTTTGTCAAACTGAAAGGTCACTAATGCTCCTCAGATGAGCGTTCGTGGCATCAGGTGATTTATGAGGTTGTCTCCACAATGTTGAAAACAACAACATTTGATACATTTGGCTGCTGAGCAGTCAATGAGAAGAGGTAAAAGCACAGCAAAGCACGGACTTTAAGTCAGACAGAGAAATTGCTCATCTGGATAAGGAAATAAACAATAACTTATTATCACTGTTACAATGCAGGATTTCTGTCAATGTGTAAATCGTGGTCATGGGAATAAATGGTGCATTTATGTAAGGACAAGTATTATCAGCAAAATAAAAGTCCTTGTTTTGCAGGACAGTGGTTGTGACTAACATATTATTACATTATTCAAATGTTAACTAAATTGTTATGCAACTATATACTATATATACAGTTCAGTACTGTAGTTCAGTGTATTTGACTATATGGGCCTATACATCTGAGCAGATGGTGCTACACCGATTTGTATTCATGTTTTAGGCTTTAGAAATGCTCTCAAACTCTTTTTTGTAAAATATTTGATACTTTTACCTCTTTGGCCCTCGTACAGTTGTTTAAATTAAACAATCTGAGAAGTTAAAAAATTAAATCTCTCTCTGGTGGAACAGTTAACAACTCTGAAACATCCGAAGCATGCCCCAACCAGACACTTTTTTAGTCACAAACCAAAACAGTTGAGAGCCATCTTGTCTAGTTGTTTCATCTCTAGTTACATTAGAATGTAGTTATAGTGCAACAGATGTGCAGTTTTATTACATACTTGTATATCTGTCGGAAACATCTGCAGTTGAAAACAAACAAAAAAAAACGGAACTGCATCTTAACACATGTCAACATTTGAGTTCAGTCTTGATTGGCGGAGTGCAGTAGTCCCACTTTTACAACCCCACAACTCAAACAAACCAGAATCATAAAAAATATCTCACAACCAGAGCCTGCATTTGAACAGTTGTGAAGATAAAGACATCATGAAATAATCTTATGAATAGATAGAAGTAAAAATAAAATCCATAAATCAAATGTAATATGAAATAAAGGTGTAACTGGGATAATAATATTAATAATAAGTTGACTTTGAATTGTCTTTACAAGTATTTCATAATATATTAAATAATTTATGTATTTTACTTCATGTATTCAATTAAGATTATTTATGTATTTCATATTCTATTATAATATGTATTATTTATACGTATTACGTATTATTGTTAACGACATGTTCCGGCTCCATATTACGTAAACAAAAGAAGCTGACAGGGTTACTGGAACGAGACCTCAGCGGAGTCACGAGACATCTGAATGCGGAAGTAGCTGTGAGGGTTCAGCTTCATTATTCGTGATCATGCGCCGACCTAGCTAGTTGTTAATTAACCTGTCTGTCCGGGACATCGGCAGTCTCGACAAACAGTGGGAGCTGAAAGACCAGTGAAGGCAGGAGCACCACCGGACACGGCAGCATTAACGGAGCTAGGTACAGCAAATGCTCTTCTTCTGTTGTATTTATGATGCTAACAAGACCTCCGAGTGAGCTGTTTAGTGTGACCGTTACGACGCTAGGAGGCTAACAGCTGGTACAACTTATATAAAGTTACGGTAACGTTACTTCATGTTCACACTAGATGTCCACAAAATGCTCATTTTATCGTCGACGAACAGGTCAACGGTTTAAACATGAGCATATCCGTAATGTTTATTTAAACGGTTGGTTGATTTTAGTCAAGATCAGAGTTTATAAGCTGCTCAACTCGTTCAAACAAGACGAACAAGCTTAACGCCATGTTAACGCCTTTTGATTTACAATAGAGCTGCCTGCAACTAACGGGTGTTTCCAGTATTCACAATATATTTATAAAAACAAAAACAGGGCATGTAGTTTAAAATGATTCCTTGAGTACATCCGAGCATAAACAAAGACAGGGCATGGAAAACACAGGTTTTAAAAGCAGTAGAAGCATTATGCACAATGCAGACAAGCAGGATATATATATATATATATATATATATAAATAATGTGTTCTTGAGCCTCTGACAGAAGAGACTGAGTGGCTAAATGCACTTTTCCATTTTAAAAAAAACTATAAAAGCAACACACACTAAAGGCTGCAGTGAGTTGTTGATCACTGGAAGCAGAATGACAGCAGGAAGGGAAAGTGTTGCACACTCTGGCTCCTTATGCAGTTCTTCAGATGGCATTTCGTCCTCAGGCCTTCTTCAAGATCAACACCGATAGTGAGACACAAACGGACACTGATTTGTTGCCACACATCAGTCACACACCTGATGGGGATTAGATGATCTGATGTTACAGACCTCCTAGTGACACGGTTGGTATCGGCTCTTCTGTTGATATGGGCTGAAGTCATGAATGACTTTCTACACCAAGCACAAGTTTGCATATTTTATTTGATCATCCCAATTTACAACCTGATGGGTTTCATTTTTAGAATTGGACATTGTTTGATCGATTTAATCTGCCAATTAAAGTTTTTGTATGTGAAATGTCAGAAAAAGGTGAAAGACGTGATTTAATTACATGCTTTACACAAAATTATTGTTTTGCCATGCTGAAAATGAAAAGCAATATTTACAAGACAATTAGTCGATTCATCAATTACTCAATCAACAAAAACATGAATAGGCAGCTATTTGAGTAAGCGCTTTAAGTCATTATTTTAGTCATTTTTTATTTTTTTGAGCCAAGATTCCACACGTTCTTTGGTTTCAGCCTCTCATATGTGAATACTTAATATATTTCATAGATCTAAGTTTCTTTAGTCGTGATGATTAACTGGCAATTTTTGTGATAAGCTTTTTTCATATTTAGATATTTAACAATGCAAGTGCAGCCTTCTCATTTTGTACAAGTTATAAGTAACAATTTAAGATGAAGACTGAGGCAGCACAACTGGTTATAAACTGCACCTTTTGAGGCTACAGCTAAATTAACGCATTTTCTCTCTCTCACCCAGTGTCTGCTGCCAAAATGTTGTCTGAAGGCGGTCATTTCATGAAGGGGATGGTCTTAGGGGGCCTCTTCTGCCTGCTGCTGGCGCTGCTGGGTAGTCTCCGGCTCGGCACGGAGTCCGGGACAGTCGACCATCATCTTCATCATCACGTCCAGGCCCCGAGTAAAGATGAGCTGACGCGCCTCTCTGACAGTCGCATGCAGGATTTGAGCAGTCAAGTCCAGATCTCTTGCATCATCATGGTCCAGCCCAAGATCCTTGTTTACTGGGCCACGGCGGTAAACACCTGGAGCAAACACTGTGACAAGGCTGTGTTTTACACCTCCGAGTCCTCCAAAGCGCTCGATGCGGTCGACCTGAACGAAAAAGACGACTGGGCGAGGTTACGCAAAGCTCTGCAGCACGCTTATGAGAACGCAGGAGACCTGCGCTGGTTCTTCGTGGCTCAAGCGACAACGTTTGCCATCGTCGAGAACCTCAAATACCTGGTGCTCACAAAGGACCCCATCGAGCCCTTCTACCTCGGCAACGCCATGAAGTCGGGGGAGCTCGAGTACGTGGCGTACGATAGCGGCATCGTTCTAAGTTACGAAGCGCTCAAACGGCTAGTGCACGTGTTCCAGGATGAAGACAAGTGTCCAGAAAGAGGACGCGCCCTGTGGAAGCTGAGCGAGGACAAGCAGCTGGCCGTGTGTCTCAAATACACGGGCGTCTTCGCGGAGAACGGGGAAGACGCGCAGGGAAAGGGCCTGTTCAACAGCAAGAGTGTGTACAGCCTGATATCGGACAGCATGAAGGCCAACCCCAACAACGTGGTGGAGGGCTGCTGCTCCGACATGGCGGTCACGTTCAACGGGATGTCGCCCAATCAAATGCAGGTTATGATGTTTGGAGTTTACAGACTTCGTCCTTATGGCCACGATTTTCATGACTTGTTAATGTTTAACCCTCCTGAAGGTTCAGACAATGACTAGAGACTCGGTCGTTCAACACGGATGTGTGCATTTTAAATGTTTTGCTTCTATGATGGCAAACCGAACTGTGGGGAGGTGTTTTTTTCTAATTCTGTTTTTTAAAACTGGATCCTGGGTGGGAATAACACTTTTATGTATATTTGTACCTTTTTGCACTTGGCACAATCAGCGCCCTGCCCCATTCCTTTGTGGTGAAGATAAAGAGTAGACGGGTGTGCCGTCCGTTTTAATGAAGACAGACGAGGACATGTCTAAAACGTGTGACATGAGACTAGATTATCTGGAAGTTTTAGTTATTATGTATCTTAAAACTTTCTCTTTTTGTGGTCTTAAAGCTGCATTACCGTTATGAGGTGATGGCTATTCTGAAAATAACAAGTTTCTTTACTTAACTGCTCAGTCTTTCGCCATCTTAACTACATTATGAGTAACTTCACCCAGCTGATTTAAAGCACTAATAGTCAATATTGAGTGAACAACTGGTGGCCCAACCCAGCTCTAAATTAAGTGTTTCTGACCATGTTGTGCTTGGTTAGCTCCACTTATGAAGAATTGGAGTTTCATGGAAAATAATAATCCTCAATGTTGACCTCCTGGGTAAAGTACATGCTGTATTTTCTTTTGTCACACATTAGAAGACACGCACAGTCTGGGTGTCAGCCTAACAAGATGACTAATTTAAAAAAAAAAAAAAATGACTTTTGCATAATAAAATCTATTTGTTTAATATAGTTCTCTGGTGTTGAATGATCCAACAAGGACTGTTGTGGAATAGAGTGGTAGCTTCCAGATGTTAATGGTTTACACCTTGCCAAGCATACTGAATGATTTTTGGTAAAGGGGAATATTTTTACAGGTAAAGGACTGCTTTGTTAAACTGAACTAATTTTTAAACTGTGAATGTATTTTATTGCAGGCCACTATGTTGTACATATAATGTATATTCACTTTGCTGCTGTCAGGTAAGAAACAAATAAAAGTATTGCAGTTCTCATTGATACCCTGAAATATGTAGTTGGATTATAATAAAGGTTATGAGCACTATTGGCCATAAACGCACCTTTATATTGTGCACCACAAACCTCTAAAATTACCTTTAAAGTTGAATCAACAATCACAAAACAGCAGCTGAACTTTATCCAACAGTAAGAAGAGTGAACAGCTCTACTCACTAGTGGGGGGAGCAGAATAACAGGTCTAACTGTGGTAAACCAGTGACACTCTGCCACTCCTTCAGTGGTGTAAACATGTTCACATCCTGGATTGATGAGTAGACAGGCTATGTCATAACTCCAACTAGATACTGTGCCCAGCCCCCTCCTGTTCACGCTGTACACTTGACTGCTACCGCCAACAATGAGAACCGTTGTAAAGTTTGCAGATGACACTACCGTCACCGTATGTGTACAGATTGTAAAGCCCTCTGAGGCAAACAACGATGAGACTTCATACAGAGAGGAAATCGATCTCGCGGCTGTATTTCTTGAGAAACTTTGAAGCAAATTCCCATGCCAATTTAACTTTTACACACGACTAATAGAAAGCATCCTGACTGGAAACCTAACTGGCATGGGATATTAATTTCCTAGGACAGACGGACTCTACAGTGGGTGATTAAAACCGCCCAGAACATCATTAGTGACGAGAGGTGCCTGCGAAGGGCCCAAAGGACATTAAAAAAGACACAACCCACCCAATCTACAGCCTGTTCATCCTGCTGCCGTGTGGCAAGAGATACACGAGTATCGGCTGCCTTTGCTGCATTTCGTTTTGCAACCCAGTGTTGTACAATCTTGTACTTTGAGCTTAAATTGGATCCAATGCAAAATACCAACTGAGATAACAATTTGAAGCAAGATCTTTTTATTTGTGCATATGGTGATTGATTCAAAGCAGGTTACACAGCTAAGTCCTTAGGTGTAAACAGTTGACGGGTAGCTCATGCGTTGCTGTCGAGAGCTCCACACTTTCCGGGGGTAGGGGGGTGCGTTGCAGGTGCTGATGTCATCATTTATACGTCTTCATGTGCCACAATCCATCATTCAAATAGTGAACGTTCTCAATTCCAATTCCCTTGTTGACTTTTTCTCTGTTTGCAAAAGACAGATCAAGATCAGGCATCATAAGAGCAGCAACAGAAAGGATTTTTTCCTTGTGTAAAATGTAGAAATAAATATCTTACATGCTGTCTGCAGACATCTTCATGATGCCAACACAAAGTGCATGTTGTTTTCCCTCCGCCATTATGGCCTACATCCACTCGTTAAAGACAAACTCATACGTAAGTGATTTAAAATGTGGAAGGAAGATGATATTTAACACATAATTCATAGTGTAAAAGCGTCCATGTGCAGCATTATGTATAAAAGGATACAACTACAGTGTCGGTTGCAGCTGGGTAGAGTTTAGCGCCTGGTGACGTCAGCCCGGGGCACATTATGTTGGCTCCACTTAGGACAAATTTAATGGCTCCTTTGTCTACTTGCTGGTGTGGAAGAATGAAAGGATCTAGGAAAAGACAACTTTGTATCAGTGTGAGGAAAGTCAAACACAAGCATCGAGCAGTTGGCATTAGAAGATCTTACATTTATGCAACAGTCTGAGTGTCGGGTAGAATGGTCCTTCTCTCTGTCTGAAGAAAAGCAGCTCTCCGTTCACTGTCAGGATTTCAATGTGTTCGTGGCTGTGGGAAGAACAGCGATACAAAAACTGTAAGAGCCACCGCACTGAAAACTGATTTCATGTGAGCAACTTGACGACAATATAAATGAAACGATGAGATCATACCATCTCACTATTTTGACAGGATCCTTTTTTGGCATTATGTGATTAAGCGAGGACTCAATGTCAGGAAATAGTTCCAAGAGCTGATTTTTGATGCCTTTGATCACCGATGTTTTCAGCTGGATACAGTTCGAGACATTTTCCTTATCGTCAAATCTGAAACAGGAAACAGAATAAGCTTTAGTGGCATGCCCTTCATGTGGTGAAACTCTTTCTTTAACCACAAAATTTGAGCCTTTTTAATTTTTTTTTGTTTTTAAATACTTTTCATTTGTCCGGGGCCCTTATTGATGTAGGCAAACATGCATCAAAAACACACACAATGGAGGACACTGACTCTACATCGAGGCAAATATTGGCAGTAAACAATGATGGTTTTCTTCGGATATTGCTTTTTCAAGCCAATATTAACCAATACCCACAGTATGCAGATATTTTGGGAGGAAGATTAATTTACAGTCTTAAAGAACAGCATGCACTAAAAATCTAACGATAAATACATACACAATTATGCATATATCATCATATTACATATTCACATGTATGAATATATAAATATTCTTTTGAATCTCATCCAGACAAATGCATACATTTTAGGGTAAATAGAATCACTTTCATTTCAATATTATAACTTGAGATAGTTCTGAGGACATTTCTGAACAGGAAATGTGCCTGTGTTATTATGAGCTAAAACAAATTATTCTAATATCAAAAATGATAAATAAATATAGCTAATCTGAGATGTGCCTGAATGATTTGGATTTAAGGAACTGTATTGTTAAAAAAACAAGGCTACATTGTAAATCAAACAGCACTGACACGTTAATATATATATGTTCAGGCCTTGTCTAATGTAATAACAAAGGATCTCACATAATATCACATATCATGTCTCATTAATTGAACTTGAGTGTACAACAAACTTGAAGACGCGATTGCTAACCAGTTAGCGTTAGCCACCTAGCTGTGGTTAGCTAACGCTACAACATGGATAATAATAAACAACGTACTTTTTAAACATCCTCGTTGGTCGCTGTTGCCGTTACCGCGCTCCTAAAATGTCACAAAGCTAGTCCGGATTTACTGCGCAAGATGCAAGTACGGTAAATTGAAGTAAATCACGGAATACAAGTCATTTATCAAGTAATGCTACTGCAGATCCACGCTTGTTTAGCAGTGCAGGGCCAGCAGTATGACGGTCGCGTCATTTTACGACAGTTGTGTGCGTTACACGGCAGTTCTGGTCACCTGGTACCTCGTGTGACTCAGAGCCATTTAAACACGACTCTGCTGTGACGGACTGAAATATTTAGGTGTACAAGATCTAAAGTCATGGTTTGCTGCTGTTTTATCTTTTTGTTCTGTGCAACTATTTATTTTACATAATGTGCAATAACCATGTGATACTAAAACATCCACTTTATACATTTTGTATTCACAGTTTAAGATACACTAGCCTACATACTACTGTCAAATATATATTCTGCACACTGTTTCCTGTACTCATGTATTCATATATACTGGATGTAACCACCCACTTCATGTTGATCCATTCAATATGTATTTATTTGCAACAATACTGTACTGCAGAGGAAGAAATGGATCTAGATAGTGAAATAAATTAAAATATGGACACTGTGGATATTTGAAAAAAAAATGCAATGGAAAGAATACTAAATTGTTTTTTCATTGAAAGAAGTAGACCAAAAAATACTTTTATTACAAAAACAGATACAGAATAAGATACAAGACAAGATACAAACATGCAGTATAGTGCAATAATAAATACAAATAATGTAAATATAATATACACAGGTAATGTAAATAAATGTAAACAAATGTAAAGCGGTAGACAGACAAACACACTTTATCTTAAACTGTGTAAACTAGTAAATATTCATAACAGAGAAAATATCCATTCATATCTTAACTGGGCAACTTCCTTTATTCATTCATGTTTGGTGAATTGATGACCGTAAAAAAAAAATGACATCAGCCCATGGCGTTAGCATGGCGCCATCTTGTGGCCAGAGCAGTTATAACACCGTACTATGTATAAAAAAACACGCTTGGGCAAAAAGTACTTTTTGTACAAAGTACTTCCGGTGGGGTCACCGACTATCTTTTATGAGCGATTTTTCCCCCCCGTGTTTACCAACGGCTGTTTTTAGTATCACGTGAGCCTATTTTTTTTGCTGTTGCTACATTTATTCTGTGAATAATCATCGTTTACGGCCGCTTCAGTTAACCGCTCTCACTCAACGACAGCACAACGCGGTTTGGACACGAGAGGCAAAAAGAGGAAGCAATAGCCAACCATCTTTCTTCTCCTGCCAGCAATAACAAGAAAGAGACCAGGCTCGGTTCAAGTGGATCTGTGTAGTTTACACTTTATTATCTGTTTTATACTGGATAAAAGACTGGAGGGGAAAATACCATATCCGCGTTAAGATAGATAACGTTAAAAGCTCGCGGACACTGAGCTCATCTCCCAGCAAGCCTGGAAGTTTCGCATCAGAAGACTTGACTGTTGAGAATTAGTATTCCCCGTTTTTTCATGTTTCCAACAGGTTTATCTTCCCCTAATCCCCCACCACCGCCAACCCAGGAGGCTAGAGCAGCGGCTACTGATGTCAAACCCGACAGCGGTAACATCACATCTCCGAAGAAGAGGAAAATAAACGGCTCAGAGAGGGACGACACTACAGACACCATCTCTTCTTCGCCTCCCAGGACCCTGAATTCCTCTTCCTCCTCCTCCTCCTCCTCTTCTCCCACGCCGCTGCACATCCAGAAGAAGTTGAGGTTTGACGATTCGGTGGATTTCATTGGACTGGATGTGAAAATGGCTGAGGAGGCTGCTGCTGCCGCCGCCGCCGCTGCTGCTGCTGCTGCTTCGTGCTCCAATAACAAAAGCAAAGCCGTGTTCCTGGGACACCATGCGAACGGACTGACGAAGCCCGCAGGCTCCGGCATCTTCTCCAACAGTAAACCCGGTGCCGCCAAGAAACTAGTCATCAAGAACTTCAAAGGTAGCAGATATACACTCTGGTGGAAGCTTCAAAACATTCACTGACAGCAGTAAACAAAGTCCCCATGCACTGTGGTTATATGCATGGTCAGACTGGGACATGAGACCAGGTCTCTATGGTCTGTTCTTTAGTCCTGAAGGCTGCTTTTCCATTTGAAATACAAAAATATTATAAACTTAGCTGAGTCAGAGAGCAGTGAATGCTTCCACCATCACAGTTCAGTAAGAAGAAATGTAGACAGTAAATATGTTGGGGAAGTTATCAATAAATTAAGTAGGGGCACTCATTGCTCATTAACATAACTAAAACAGTCCAAAGTAAAGTTCTTAAAATCCTTTTAGGAGTTTCTAATACGACTATAAAGAGGCTGAGCCTTATTGAATATTATCAAATTTTAAATTTAGACAATATCATGTCTAATAACAAGATAATAGACTTCACCATCATCCCGCTATATTTTAATAAGTCATAAACACATGTTTTATGTTATCCCTGGTTCCGCCGCAGCATTGTGGTCCAATGAGGTCCACTGTCTGTCGTCCAGGGACTGCTTAAGTTTACAGTCTCATCACAGCTGTTTGTGTTTTTGTTCCGCACACAGAAAAGCCCAAATTGCCCGAGAACTACACGCAGGAGACCTGGCAGAAGCTGAAGGAGGCGGTGGAGGCGATACAGAACAGCACTTCAATCAAGTACAATCTGGAGGAGCTCTATCAGGTATCACCACAGACCTGTTGGCCTCCCAGAGGAAGCTCGTCCGTAGAGGAAATGTCCTTTTTTGACTCTTTCTTTTGTCCCCTCAGGCTGTTGAGAACCTGTGCTCCCATAAGATATCTGCCAAGCTTTACAAACAGCTGAGGGGCGTGTGTGAAGACCACATCAAGGCACAAATTGATCAATTCAGAGAATATCCTTCACAGTTTCTACTTCTCTTCAATTTCTATCCGTGGATCTTTACTTACTTTTGTATATCTCGGTGTTTATCATGCAGTCGTGTTGCAGTAAAGCTCTTTTTCCTTAACACTGTTCATACGGATGCCCTGGACAGTGTGCTTTTCCTAAAGAAAATTGACAAGTGCTGGCAGGATCACTGCAGACAAATGGTACGTTTTATAACTTTAATAAGACAAATGGTCGTTGTTGTATCCCTTGAAAGTGTTGACACAACCTCCCTTTCCATGCGGATTGTTTGTTAAATGGTTGTTCCACTGTTTTAGTATTGCACTTGTTGTGTTGTGAGAGAAATACTGAAATGTATTGTGAAGTCAAGATCAGGCTTATTTTCTCAGACTGTGTGAAATCATCAGTAGTGCTGCTTTCTAACTGTGATTGTTTGTTTTTCACAGATCATGATTAGGAGTATATTTTTGTTTTTGGACCGCACCTATGTTTTACAAAATTCAATGCTGCCATCGATCTGGTGAGTGATCCCTGATGTCGGCTAGTGTGAGGCTGATTTCAGTTTTTTTTTTGTTTTTTTTTTAAGTGGGTGTTTTAAACAAGCGTGCTCTGGTCTGCAGGGACATGGGCCTGGAGCTGTTCAGGTTCTACATCATCAGTGACCTGAAGGTCCAGAGTAAAACCATCGACGGGATTCTGTTGCTCATCGAGAGGGAGCGAAACGGGGAGGCGATAGACCGCAGCCTGCTGAGGAGCCTGCTGAGCATGCTCTCCGACCTGCAGGTAACCGAGCATGTACCGTTTAAATTATTGTTTTAATAACGGTCCACACATGCGTGTCAGCTGGTGTGAGTCTCTATCTGAAAGCCTGCATCTTTGTCCTGTACTACGAGAAAAGTGCGGCTGTGTTGTTTGTGATCATCACCCGCACAGGGGTTTGATGAGTTGTCAGCTTCTTCTTGACAAATGGCTTTAATGAAACCTGCGTTCTCTCCGTCCCTGACAGATTTATCAGGACTCCTTTGAGCAACGCTTTTTGGAGGAAACCAATCGGCTGTATGCTGCAGAGGGACAGAGGCTGATGCAGGAGAGAGAGGTGATTTATGGGGCCCTTAAACTCTGGGCTAGTTTCTTATTTCAGTGAATACCTGGTCAAAGATGGGCAATCTGATCACACGGTACATGTTCTGTTAAGGGCCCGTTTGAATATGTAAGCATTAAAACTTGCAACATTAGTTTTTTTCATTTTAGTTCCTGCAGAATAAAACAGAAAGGACTCACTGTTTTGTGTTCATGTTGAAAGCAAACTAAAGCGATTCAAACACAACATGAAGTCCATCACAAAAGAACAGAAACACTAGCGCGTCCGTCAGAATGCAGCACAGGCTCAATAAATGCTGCGTTTGGACTGAAGGTTTTCTTTGATCTCGGCTGGAAAAGCTTTTGCTTTTAAAGCAGTTTGTTTACTTACTGACGCACTGGATTGAGACAGATTTTCACTCTTTACCGTCTCAGCGCAGAGCTTGATGTTTTCCTAAAGGTTGTCAAAACATTTAGTTTGCTAATGTGAAAGTGAACCATGTTTATTTCTGAGATATTATGGGTTCAGGGATTTTTGAGACGGCTAACTTAAAACATAGAGGTTCAACTCTACATACTTAGACTGTACTATACGCACAGTTCAGATTTAGCTGATCAAATAGATAGCTTCTTAAATCTTGATGCTAATAGTTTAAAAATACAACCCATGAATTAATTTACCTGATCAATCAAATAACAAGACTCTTGTCGAGTCCAACTGTGCTAAAAACATTTACTTAATCATCGATGGACAGTTTATATAATACTTGCATGTAGTACTTCTCCTTGTTACTCGCGGTGTTCTTACGTTCTAACGTGGAGCGATACTCGTCTCCCAGGTGGTTGTGATTGTAAAGGCTGCTCTGATTCCTGTCCAGGTTTTTACACTCAGTTTATTAGAAACGCATGGATAACGGTCCTGCAACAAGTCCGACCTTCAGGAACATTATAATGTTCAGTTTTTGTTGAAGCTGTTTTAGAACGGCGTCGATTCCATTTATCCCCATTTCTATCGATGCGGATAGGCTACATACATCTGAGGGACATCTCTCTGTATGATGAAATACAGTTTAACCGCATCACAAACTACGTCCTCTGAAATGATTACACTGTCGAATCACTGTCTGTTTTATTACACTGCATTATGACAAACAGGCAACTGACTGCATCTTTCTGAGACCTTGAGGATTTTGGTGTAG